TGGTGGTTAATGCACTCCTTTTCAATTCTAGTGAAGTGTGGTAGCAATGATGGGTGTTATATTGATGTTGGTGAAGTGAACTACCTGTGACTAGATAACGATTCCTCTCAAGCTGCCGGCACGAACCACCACCACGCTATCTACATATACAGAAGCCTCATTCTCAATGCTCGTTTTCAAGAAGAAGGATATTGTCCTCTCTAAATGTGGTATCACAAATTTAAGAGAGTGTAGTGTGTTATGTTTCTCCCCATGGAATACAGTGATACCAATTAGCTCAACATAAAACGCACTACCCCTTCTCTCAAAGTAACAAGGAGACTTGACCACCTACACAACACAATCAAGCATTCGGCCTTCCGATTGACATGAAGCTGCGGTACACGCAGTTCCCGTTAACTATCAAGCTTGAAATCTTAAAGACGGCGCGATACCACCAGATATTAAAATAGACACATGACTTCCCTAGGAAAAGCCAGAGACTAGCACGGTATTCTTGCTAAATATACTTTCAGTCTCAAAGCTAGGCGTAACGAACAATAACGCCTTACAGACAGACCAAGAATATGAAGCGAGAGGAAACCAGTTATAATTAGGTAACCCGACACACATCGTTAGAAAACTGAGATCTTTCCGCCATGGCTCATGATGAGATGTTGGTTCAGGAACGAGTCACTTGCATCTGCTTATAGATACTAGACGTATACTTGTACATGAGAGGCCTTTACTCACATCCTTCACCGGAGCTTACAAGGAAAGAGAGGCAGAATACCATTCACATGAACTAATTGCATTGCAATCAGTTCATACTGAATCAAATGCAATGCATTCAAGGTTTTCACTAATATCAGAATGTCTGAACAAGTCCTGAGAAGGCGCACAGAACGAACCTTAAGTTTAGGGAACTGATAACAATCTCAAAGATCTAGCATATAATGAGAGAGTCGGTTCACAATCGCCATGGCTAGACGATTCCTAGATGAAAACCAATCTCTCCAACATTATCAATATTCTCTCCTCACCAAACAACACACTGGCAAAGCAACCCTTACCCATCAACATAACACACCTTTAACTCATACCAGAAGAACCAACAGTTCAACAACCTCTCACCATGGAGCACAGCAAGCAACCAACCGGACAACGAACCGGAAAACAGCTGGGCAATGAGAACCGAGCCACCGAGCACACTATAAACGACATGGAAGCAGTCATGAGGAGGGTGTTCGGCGGATCCATCGACTACGGCCTCCTCCTCTCGATATGGCAGCCGCCTCGTCCCACCACGCCCGAAGGATCCCGAGACACGGGATCGCGCCAGGCACAAGGGGCACGCGTGGAAGGGAAAACTGACCACCGTCAGGGTGGGTCTTAGGTAGAGAGATCCGGCGCCCGCGGGTATCTGTCACATCACCGAGGATGGCCTGTTCCTACTCTGCTGGAATGGGGGGTTTTGCAGTAATGCGAGGATTGCATGCAGTGTTTGATATATAGGCTTCTCTATTCAGAGTTAGAGAGAGCTTAGCTTGAACACCATGAGACGTCCCAGAGGACGATGTACCGCAGTGAGGAAGTCTTGCTCTTAGAAAAGGACTAAAGGGATGATGGCGTGACTCCAGAAGTTAGTCACTTGAATACTATACAGATTAGATGAGTCATCGTGTCGCTCGCATGGGTCCTAATAAATGAAATATCATTTGATCCCCCAGAAATAATACTAGAGACTTTAACCATTGACTGGATAGGATATTTAGACTTTAAACTGGACCTCTAATTGCGAATCTGGCCATCAGTACCTGTGGAAACTCCAAAAGATGTCTATGATATTACTCTAGGCCTGTGGCCTATGCTAGCTATTTGCATGTATGATGCTGCCTATGGGTATAACAAATGACCTCCTAATCCGCAACCCAGTCCCATAACGACACCTCGCTTTTGTTTGTACTCCAATTCCCTATGCTAATTCCCATTTTCTGTGTTTGACTTTGAGCAAAAAAGCAAAGCTCGTCAGTTCGTGCGTAGCAATAAATATAAGTGATAAGCTTGTGAACCGTAGAACGCCGTTCCGTTTCCCCGTCCCGGTTAATTCATCATATAAACAATATCTCAACGACGTAGTCCCAGATCTCGTCAACAGTCGGTATTCGGCCACTGGGCAGCAGCCGGCGTCGGCGTCGATCTTCTTGGCCGAAAGAACCCACGCCGTCCTCGAGGTAGGCCTTCTCTGCGTCGGAGAGCTCCCGCGTCTCTGTTTCGCACCACTCCCGTTCCACTTCCGCTTTCGCCTTTCGAAGGAGCGCGTCGATATTCTCGGTCTCCCACAGATTGCACTTGTTGCACTCCTGACACCTGCGTCCGTCGCCTTCGGGGCGGAAGTGCTGGCAGAAGTGCTGGTACCCCTCGTTTTGCGAGCCGATGTCTTTGCGGCAGACGTAGCACATCTTGTAGCCGCAGGGACAGGTCAGTTTGTTGCATCCGGCCGTCTTGACGAACGACGTGTTGCAGCGCGGGCAAACGCGCTTGACGGCCATCGACATGGCTTGTTCAACTTGCGTACGCAGTGCGACGAGAGACGACTCGTGGCAGACATGGATATCCGTCCACGCCTTGGAGCACGACAGGCAGGATGAACGCCTACAGGTCGGGTTCTGACATTTGAACTTTAAGCCGCGACGGCGTCGCTGGTATCGGCTGATCGCAGCGCGGAAAGGCCCGAATGCGTAGTCTCTGAACGATTGATTCAAACCCACAATGAGGCCGAAGGGCACTAGCATCAAAACGGGGAATGAAAACGGGAATGAAACGATAAAGATGAAGAGGAGAATCATACCCGGGACGTTGCCTGCGCGAAGCTTCAGCCTCGGGGCGCCGGCGGGCATATACAAATCATCAACTTCCGCGTAGCTGCAGAAGGGGCACCGGATCAGGGGTAATCCACTGGACAGGAGACCGTGCTCCGCCAGACGTTCATCCAGCTTGCGCAGGATCTCGTCCCCTTTCTTCTCTCCGCGTATGGCCCGATGTATGTGATCCGACGGTATGCAGCCTTCGCATTCTGCCGATGCGACAGCTGGACAGCGTAGGGTGCCCGTGTTTTTATCAATGCTGCGTTGCCAACCTTGTCCAAAGACGGCCTCCGTAATGGAGTGTTGAACGCAGCGAAAACAGACCATATGGCCTTCGGTGGTGCAGGTGGTGAACTCCTCGAAAACACCGTCGGTAAAGCAGCAGCTGCACTCGTACGTAGCCTCGAAGGCCTCGGCCTCCTCGGTATGTAGCGACATGGCCAAGGCCCGGTCCTTCTCGTCTCTCGCCAGTAGCTGGCGTCTCTTTATCGGCATGATCAATTCGTCGAATAATTCTCTATCCAGCTCGGCGTTGCCAGTCGGTTTCAAAGTCGGGACCAAGGTACCGTCGGGAGAATGGTTCCATATAACCAAGGGGTGCGTTTCCACCTCGGCAGCAGAAACGGGCTTGCGGCGGAAGAAAGAGGATATCGTAAACTTCCACGACCTCGAAAATAAGGCCGCGAGGGTCGGCCGGGCATCAAGGTACGAGTAATTGGTTTCGGACAGAACAGCATCGATCGAGGACCTGGACAGACCCTTGAATTCGTGCATGGCCAGCGCTTTCACTGCTTCTTTGTATTCGGCAGTTCGGAAGGCCTCGGCGCGCGGCACGAGCATCTTCGAGTTCGGACCGTCGCTGGCTCGTCGTCGCCCCTTCACAAAGGCGGACGGATTCTTCAGCAGCTTGTCGGTGATGATAAACAGCCTCGACTCTTCGGAGAAGGATGCAAGCATCTCCCGGAACACTTCTAACTGGATGTCGGGGAACAGGGCGGCGAGGGTTTCGAGGTTGTTGTTGAGATCGAGGAGGTGTTCAGGAGGCGGGGCAACGGGTTGGAGCTGCGACTCGTCGGTTAGGTAATCCGAGGAGGACGCATCGGGACTCCGAGAGCGTGACGGTGACACTTCCGGAGTGTTCCTCGACGATCTGGACTTGGTCGACCGGTGGGAACCGCTGCGCCCCGACGAGGTGCCCAGCAAGGCGGAAAGGAACATGTCTTCTTCTTCTTCTTCTTCTTGAGTCAGGTGTGCCGAATCAGACGTTACATTGTTGCTAGGTATGCTTTGCTGTGCTGTGCCGTGCCGTGCTGTGCTGTGAGCAGAAAGCGGAAAACAGGGCGAACCCGGATACAGCTGGCTATTATGGCTGGTTATAACGCTGCTGTGGTGCTGGCTGGCTCATCAGCTGTCAGGAAGACGAGGGATGCGCATAACTCTGTCCCGCGGGCCCCGAGGTGCTGCCTGTGGAAAGAATATCGAATGAGAGATAAGTTAAGCTAGGAACTACTCCGTAACTAGGTTGCGATACAAAGGGACTCGGGTCTATTTGTTGTTGATTTATTACGTGCGAGATCAAGAAACCAGATGCAGGAAAACGAAATTATGAGTAATTCGGATCTGGAATTACATTACATTGTACTGTATGTACTACCTAACCTTAGGTACACTAGCAAACTTTTGGTACGTAAAGGAGGACAGAGGCAGGTCCCTGTCGATCTCGGGTGTATTGTGGGCCCCCTGAGTCGCAAGGCAATCACGCAGCCAGGCAGTCAGGGAATTACTTGCACGCGGCTTGGTGTCAGCAGAGTGGAAGTAGGTACACGTGCAGGACTAGAGCTACATGTTTAGAGAGATAAATCAAATCAAATGTATGTACTGAGGGGTAGCTGGCTACATATGTACTTCCTATGTACTTCTATGTACATACCTACCTAGATTTCCCTCGTTTTATCGTTTTATCGTTTTACAGATTATAGGGGTTAGGTACGCTATGATCACCACATCCAATCTGCCACAACTTTGTAGGTCTACCGGATATCGGCAGTGCGTGCGCCCAAGTTAAGTTGTAGTGGTTAGTCGGCATTGGATCTGGACGATCGATAGTTAAAAAGATGTCAAAAAAAATAGTGCAAACAAGTCCAAAAATTTAAAGGGCCCAGCCGGGATTTGAACCCGGGACCTCCTGTATCCACGTTTAATGGAAGGGTATTTCGGTGACCCGAAACAGGAATCATGCCACTAGACCACTGCGCCAAGGTTTGAATGTTGGATTCACCTTAGCAAATACTGCCTTATATATCAAAACCTTTTGCCACTAAGAACGACAAACATTGAATCTTCCATCAACCTCTCTTTACAAAGAAATTAGTTTGGTACATGGGCGTACTCAGGCCGTTGCAATATGAGAATCGAACCTCTGCTTAACATAGCTCTACGTGCTATATGTATAGAACAACTGATCGCATAACTAGACCTCATCCGCCATTATACAGTGTACCCGTCAAGTCAAGTCAAGTCATTCGTTTACTTGATAGCTACGCTAATATCTGCATGCGAAAGGAAAAAAATAAAATAAAATAAAAATAAAAAAAATAAAAAGGAACCTTATCATGTCTATTCAGCTGCTTTTTTATGAGAGGAATAAACATAGGTTTCGCCCAGTACTAGGTACCTTACAGGTTCTTGCTATATGCTCCCACTCGACGGACATGCCATCAAGGCAAGGTGGAAACTAGATACTGCCTCACCCCTTGTTTGGACAGACACAAGTCTTGCGAATATCCCGAAGTTTGGAGCTTCGGTACCCAACTTTCATTTTCCCAGAGCGCCGTTGAGGCTCTTTCCAAGCCTCGGTAGTTATTGTTAGATGTCTCAAGACACCATACCTTTGTACCCTTTGTTCTGGTCCTCGGAGGACTCTGTGCATTTCCTTAGAGTTCCCACAAAGATGGATAGCGCCTCTTTCGTTTCCAGAAACATGACCGCTTTGATCCTGCGTACCGACTTAGGACTCTGACTACGTAGTGTTAACAGTGTATCTCAACATGACTTGGAAATGCTACTGCGTAGTCGCGTAAACAGTGACATATTGTTCGGTCTTCTGTTGCTAATGATACCTAAGAAGCCTACAGCAGGATGAACCAGAATAATCCTCGGCCGAACCTCCTGCAACTGGCCCGACAAGCGGGCACCGACTCTCGCTATCTGGTAGTCCTGAGAAGGGCACACGAAATCAGGCAATGCTTTGAACAAGAGGCAAGACGGTTCGTATTTGAAGACCTAGTAGGGTATGGCCAATACGGCGTGGCCTGTCGCATACTGCAGCGTGATTCGGGGTGGTTCTTTTGGCGGACAGCGGCAAAACGTTTCGTGGTCAAGCATTCTTTGGGTGACGCGAAGGAGACCCAGGCTCTCATGAATGAGATTCAGATGCTGCAGGTGAGCCGCAATTCTGCTTTTCCGTGGAGCCGACAAGAAAAAATTAAAGGCATAGTTCAGTGACATCCATGGCGCAACTGTATGACAGGCCGAGAAGCTCCTGAGGCTAACACAAGCACTTGTTTTCCATCATATAGCGACTACAGGGAGCATCGCATATTCTACAGCCCTTTGCGATAACCGATAATCCGCTCCTTCAGGCATTTGATGGGCCTAGTCTCATTACCGAATACGCTGAACACGGGACTCTCGGTGCCTTCATAGTAAAAGCAGCTGCTTGGGGCCAGCCACTGCCAAATCGATTGTTATGGAGGTTGTTCCTATGCCGTGAGTCAACCCCTGGGAGCTACATAGATAAGCCGACCAAGCATATTTGTCCATTATTTGCAGAGATTAGAACGGTATCTGTCGCATACTAATATTAGGATACTTGTTTAAGTGTTGCGTTTCGTCATCGCCATGGCATGGCCGGATGTCGATATAAAGGAGCAAGTACCCGAGCAAGAAGAGATCCGGGCACAGAAATCTCAGATTGTACATAACGATATGCACACCAGAAATAGTATGTGAAACTGACCTCCTACCTAAGTCTCGTAGATCGTAGACACGGTTAGAGTCTTGAAAACAACAATGGACTAAAGAAGACCCCCCATTGAACTTTTGATATCGATTTATCGACTAACTACAAGCTCTCAACATCTATAGTTATGATCGGCTCCTTCGACAAAGACGAGCACTTCCTGGTTCCTATACTAAAGCTTATCGACTTTGGTCTGGCAAGGAATGCCCCGTCAGGTTTGTCTTTCCTGTAAGTAGAACCAGTAGAGGAGTGGTACCGAAAGGCCCCTAATCATGCGGTGATATGGCTGATACTGAGCATAGCCCGACTTCCGATGCAGGCGTCAAACAAAACATATACGATATTGGCGTTGTAAGTCCTCTCCCTATTGCTTATCATAACATTCTTACTACCTCTGGTGTCTGTTGCTTCTGTCCCTAACACTTAGTTGAATGGAAAAGTCACATTTTACCATTTCTCATATACTAATACCTGCCCAAAGGTGATGCTAGATCTAATAACGGGAACAAATTTGAGACCGACGAGGAGAGCCTTGATGGACGTGCGCATCTACAATCGTAGCATACTCATCAATTCGGCAGCCGTCGCCATTGCACCCCCAAGGTTCCCGAACCTTGACCCAGATTTGCGTGGCCTCGTCGTCTGGTGCTGTGCCGCTAATATGGATGACAGACCGTACCTGGAAACTTTAGCGAACATCATCTCCCAGCAGGTAGAGACCAAGACCGCTGCGTCTTATGCTGGGTATCCGCTCCAGGTGAACGAGACGGACGAGCGTGTGGCAGCTATTGTGGCTAGGTTATTGGATCCAAGCTCTGGAACGTGATGAGTTATGTTAGATGCATTAAAGAGATGGAACTTCGTTATGATGCACATGAGATGCGTTCAAGGACCTTCTAACCTAGTAACATAGAATTCGCTACGAAATTGAAGCATCGATCTAGAAGATCGTGACGAGGCCCTGGCGGCACTGGCAATTCTAACAACTGTACCTTTTTTCAATAATAACTGATCTACCTATCCTAGGAAACATATTCCATGTCCTTACTATGTCTATCATTCTCTTATATCTCGATTCCATCCATCTATGCCTTAGTATCGAGAAACCTCTCTAGGTCTTCGAGCTCTCCACTGTGTTTCATCATATCGTAAAAATGCCCCTTGGCATCATAAAGCTCCTTCGGGCTTCCCATCCTTTTTACGAACGATTAGTATACTATTGTTTACTCTCAGGGAGGTCCAACTTACTCTAAAACTGAGCCGGCACTCAACACCACCACGCGGTCATAGTCGATGATTGTTTTTAACCGGTGCGCGATAGTGACAAGTGTCCTGTCCTTGCCGTGCTCGTTTAACTCCTTCCTCAGAACCTCTTGGATCCCCTGGTCGGTTTCGTAATCCATGCTGGCGGTCGCCTCGTCCAATAACATCAACTTGCTCTTGCGCACTAAGGCCCTGCACAGAGATAGTACCTGTCGTTGGCCGTGGGAGAAGTTCTCGCCCTTGGGCTTCACGGGGGTCGAGAGAGTAATACCAATATCAGTAAGCGACTCGTCAGAGTCAGCCGCATGGTGCACGTCGCCGTTCTGCGCGCGATCTTCGTTCTGATGGTATTGGAATGAGGCGATCCCGCTGCAGTATTGCAGTGCCTTGTCAATCGCCTCTTTAGGGATCTGGCCCGTCGGATCGAGGTTAGACTCCACGTCCCCGTTGAACAATACTGCTTCTTGAGGGATGACCGTGAGCGCTTCCCGGAGTCTCCTCCGTGGCATGCTTGTGATATCAATCCCATTAAACAGTATCTGCCCCGACACTATGTTCGTAAAACGTAGTAAGGACAGAACGAGCTATAAGAATATGAATTAGAGCGAATTGCCCATTAGGCAAGGGAAGTTCAACTTACAGTACTTTTCCCAGATCCAGTTCTCCCAACGATAGCAACTCTCTCGCCGGCTGCAAATTTGAGGTTGATATCCTTTAGAATTTCTGGGCCGCCCACGTCGTACTTGATGGTCACATTACGAAACTCCACCTCGCCAGTTGCCGGCCAATTCTCAGGCACAGTTGACTCTGGGTTGTCGGAGTATTCCCCAACCTTCTTATACTCATCCGGCTTCTCCTCTGGTTCTACAGCAGCATACTCTCGAACTCGATGATACTTCACTAATTTAGCATCAAGGTCTTCAGGTACCCATCAAGGAAGCGGACTCACGCTTTGCAGTTCAACCTCAAGTTCATTACCCGCCCTCACAAGCAGAAGAATGAGCTGGCTAAGGTTCTGTTTACTTTGTTAGCAAACAGCAATATGTTTTTGGGGTAGCAAACTCGTACGGTCGCATTCGTCAACGAGAATCCAACAAGACCAGCCGCCACAGTTCCAGCCTTCGACACAGCAATTGCACCCGCCGCGACGGTGACCAGGGTCGTCATCATATCGACCTTGAGCGCGACCCAGCGATTAACGTTGAACTGCGCTTCCGAGGCCTTCTCGAACGCTCGCAATTTGTCCGCCAGCTGCCCGCCAAAAATCTGGGGCATGTTTGCACGGGCGCGGATAACGGGTAGACCAGCCAGACTATCGGCGAACTGTGCGAAGAGCGGCGACTGTGATGACGATACTAGCCGTTTGATTGCTACGGCGGTTCGAGTATACAGCTCGCCTGCTAGAATCCCAGCGACGCAACATGCAGCAGCGGGCAGCATGAAGATCGGTAGCACCGAGCCGACTGCCACAATCTGGAAACAGAGACGGGTAAACATCTCAAGACACATACGAAGCACTATAGATTTTGTCAATATGAGCCCAATCAAATATGCAGCTAGAATATAGAGTGTCTTTGGGCATTTCAGAATGCGCGACAATGGTCAGGAGAAGGTACTCTATGATGATGCAGGAGAGACTAACTAATAAAGGAAACATAATCTAGGAGGATTGACTTACTGCCGGGTAAAGAGGTATCAATGGAGTCCATGTCCCTTGAGAATCGATTGACGACTCTCCCAACCGGTGTCGTCTTATACCAGGAAAGAGACACGCTCATCACGGCCTTCATGAAAGTGTTGTGTAGCGTTCGGGCAGCGAACCAGCCTCCGTTCTCATATGCAACATAGGTCAAGCCGCTGAAAAAGATATCTGCGAGACTCCACGCTGCATATATGCCAAGGTAGAAAGCAACATCATACGCGTCGTCCTTCCCGTAGGCATCTACCCAGACGGCTATCCACAACCCAGTGC